GACCCTGGAACAGATCTGCCCTGCCAGCCTGGGGCCAACCGGCCTGCCACGCGCTTTGGCTGCCTGATGCTATGCCACCCGCCACACCTCCACTTCTCCTTCCTGCGGCTCCTTCATTACAATTGCACAGTATTAAAAAGCTGTCATTCTCTGTATAGAATAGCAGCAGCAGCACGCAAACTCACAATTCAGCGTTCAATTTCAAATCATTTCTTCGGCCATGTTCTATGGCCAGCTACGGGTGGAATCCTTCAAATCCTTACTTGAACCAACAAATAGTCTTCAACCTCAAAAATGCACCCGCGCAAGTAAAAACTAGCACACCTGCGGCTCCAGCTGATCTGGGAGCCAAAGTTTAGAGGTGCTGCAAACTATAATATGGTGCTGGTGGTCAGTGTTGTATTACTCGGGAGTAAAGTTTACAGGAGTTGTATTTCTTTGAGTGTAAGGGAAGGCAATAAAATGCCACAGAGCGTGGATGTCAGACCCGTTTTCCAGTATATTACTAGAACTATCTACATAGTTACCTAGTTGTTTATCCCAAGTCACAGCAGATTCACTGCATGCATAAAGTTTTCTAACGCATACTCCAATTAAAAAAAAAATAATTGCAGTGGTTCTGAGGATTTCATCAGCATCACTGCTCACGACAGTCCTGTGCCCTACACAATAAAAATTTAAATTATATAAAAATGAAGAGTGAATGTATTTGGCCTGTTCCACAGAAATTCACAGTCTGACCATCAAGCAAGCGTATTTCCAGAGGCTCCAATATCGCTAAAGACTTCCCAGCATCAGGCGCAAAGCCCCATGGCGCAGCAGGATGGCAGCATGAGGGAGCACGGCTGCTCTGGGGCAGGCTCATGGAACCCCCGGCAGCCCACGGCAAGGTCCAGCGCCCAGCAGCACTGCCAGGGAGCCACACCTCCAGCTCCTGGCTCAGCAGTTTAAAACCCATACAGGACTGCTTTCCAGTCTGCAAATGGTAATTAAAAAATTGAAGTTAGGCTAAAAAGAAATGGTATTTTGCTAGATACGGTGGCTATTTTTCACAAGCATTCCACCCTACAGGTGGAGTTGCTCCTGCCAGGCCAAAAGCGGCAGAACAAGAGCGAGGCTTTCCTCTCCGCCGAAAGCGCGGGACTCACGCCACGGAGAATTGCACGTCCTTTCCCCAATAGGAAACAACATTTTCCCTTCCTGTATATTCACCACCACCGTCTTTATAAAGCAGCTGTATTACATTTGGTACACTAAAATGGCTAAGCCCTGATGTGCTGCAGATTGATTTCCTCACTGCTATCCACACTCAGACCAGAAGATAAATGCCTTCCTTAAAGAGCTCTCTCCCTCAGCCTCTGGAGCTGCTGCAGTTCAGCGTACAGATCGGTCACAGCCACTGCCATGACTCCGTGTGCGCGTGCACGCATTGGCTATCCATTTGAACAGTTAGTTTTCACGCTCCAGACATTTTAAATTCCATTTAGGAAAAAAAAATAAAAATGAATAGATGAACAAAGCATTTAATATCTGAAAGAATGAGTAGTATCAAACTTATAAACATAGACTTCATTTACTGTCAAATCAGTCTCCATTTGGAACTTTTGCTAACAAAGCAGCCTCTGTTGGGGAATTTTTTTTTCTTTTTTTAAAATAATAGCACCAGCAAAAGTCTCACCATAAATTCAATTGCACCAGCATGAGTGCTTCGGCCTGCTTTGCCCACCAAATCAGAATAAAGTTTTGCTGTCAAACAGTAACTTGGGAGGTTACAGCGGCAAGGACAAAGCTTTGGGTGTATTTACCTAAACACGGCAAGTTCAGGGCTCCCCTCCTGCAAAGGAACAGACTCACCCACAGCTGAACAACTACATTTGTCTTCCACAGCTTAACACGTCTCCCAGCAAGAGCCTGCAGAAGCAGCACGGACCAAACTCCCCTTCTATGAGATGAAAGAGATGCTATCTGTGGCTTGTGCGTTTGTTTCGAAGCAGTTTTCCGTGCCCATGCTTTGTTAGCGATTTGTGATCTCAGAGCCAAGCTATTGCATTGCCTGCGCACCAGCGAAGCCAGCGACAGCGTTCAGGCAGATCCTCCTCCTCCTCTCCCTGCTGACCCCGCTGGGCCACAGCAGATGTGCCAAGCATGGATCCCACAGCCAGCGCGCCGCCTAAAACCTGTTTCCCTTTAAGCTTTAAAACCCTGGTATCACAGAAGCCATTCGATGCTATGGATGACTGTCCAGGTTTGGTTTTGGTTTGGTTTGTTTTTTAATTGAAGCTGGTTTATGATCCTGAAATGCAGCTCTGAAAATGAAAGGTGTGCAATGGAAGTGTACCAAATTCATTAAGCCAGTACTCAGCTCTGTAGAAAGCCTTGGCAATCATTCCTTTTACCAAAAGGTGTAAAAAAGTTGATGTACTAAAATTAAAAAAGGTAGCATCAATAACCAAAAAAGTTTCAACCAGTGTTAATAAAACTCCCTTTAAGTCACAACAGTTTCAACAGGCAAATAGTCCCAATACAGGCATTGTAAAATAATAAATTGACTCCTACCCAAATATTATCAAATCAGTCTAAAAATGACTCATCTACACTGTTGTCATTAAGAACACATTAAGAATTCACTTTGTCATCAGATGCCGATATCATTGCTCCAGAAAGCGTGGAGTATTAACTGCGATTTAGCAATTAAACATAGGTTTTAAAAAAATTGGCTCATCAAAATTAATGCAAAAGATAGTTCCTTACATAGAAGTACTGTGCTTGCCAGACAAGTAAGAGAATACTTTAGGTATAAATCAAACAAATTAAAGCAGAATTATACCACAGTTTTCCTTGAAGACTTAGGGTTTGCGTGTTGCTTCTGTCAATGTTTAGCGAACTTAAGAAGCAGAACCTTTGGTTCTTTTAGTCAAGTAAAAATATTCTCCTGTAACCACAAAAATACAACTTCCAGAGAAAATGGAAGTCCATCAAGAAGTTCACTTCCAATAAAACTGAGGTAGTACTGCTCTTTTATTACGTGATGAGTAAGAGATTTAGATACAAATCGTCATCTACCACTCAGTTGACTGACAGGTACAGTAGTTTTATAAAACAATCCCAACATTTAGTTTGGAACTCCAAAAAAAGGAATGATCTGGGCTCATTCTCTAAGAGTTAGCTTAAAATGGGAATTAGCCATATTACAAACAGCTGTTGCTTATCTTCTTTTTTAGAGCCTTATTACCAGGGGGATTAATGCATTTATAGTTAACAGTTAACACTGCTGTTCATCTTGGTGTAAAACCTTAAAATTATTACAGCCTAAAATTCCAACAATGTAAACAGCACTACACACAGTACAGACCTGCCCTGACGGATGTAGTATGAAAAACTTAATCTGGCACTGTATAATTTAGCAATGTTAATTTAACCTAACTAAAAAGATCTACATTGTGCAAGAAATATCAGACTTACTTATACTAATCTGAAGTCTTAAAAAAACCCCAAAAATGCTTAACTTGTAGCCAGGGTCAAATATTTCAGGGCAAGAGTAAAAGGAATAACCAAAATTAAGAAAGTGCCTAAAACATGATACAGCATTTTAGAGCCCTTTCAAAGACAAGGCAGAAAAAGGTGTAAAGTAGAAAAATCTGGAGCCTCGGTAATTTCCAGAAACATCCAGAGTTTACGCTTCACGAAGGGCAACAGGTTGCTTTCGTCACTGCTGCTTCGATGCTGCTAAGTCTGTTCCTCCGCACACAGGCCCTCTGTGTCAGAAGACGTAACACATTTGGTTTCCTCTTCCTTTTTCCTTCGCTCCATTTCCCACTCCACAAAGGTGTCGAAGAGACTCGGCCAGGCCTCGTCCTCACTGTAGTTGCTAAGGTCCGGTCCAATCACCTGAGCAAAATTTAGAAACATGTTCCACGTGTCCCGGGAGATTCCCTTGATTCCTGAGGGGTTCTCGATTAGGAAATGTAACCACTGGTCCAAAATGGGGGGTTTGTTTTGGGTGAAGACTAACTTCCAAAGGGCAATGGCTATTTCCCGATGTAGCGACCGCTGTCCTTCCTCAGAGTCCAGGCCAAACTGGAAGGTGAAACGATAGAGATCCTTGAATTTGTCTTCCTGCTTGGCTTCGTTTAAGAGGCTGGGGAACCTTGCACAAATGCTGTCAATGCTGTCCGCATTTATTGCTTTGCAGCCTTCAAAGAACTCCTTCCTATTAAGCAAGAGAAGAGAAATTAGTGTGAGCAATTCCCACCGACCTCACGTCCCAGACGCTTCCCCTCTCCATTCAGCTACGTCAGATTGGAAGAGGGTCATCTGGGCAAGCCAAGGTGTGCTCTCCGCCCAGGCGACACAAAGATCCTGGCAAGGGGAGCTACTGGAAGGAGAGATGGAGAGAGGAGTGAGCTCAGGGAACCACAGCCACCACTCCAATCTGCTGCAGCACTGTTGGCACTCGGAAGACATTTTGCTGGCTGGGTTTCTGACTGCTCCATGCTACCATATCCAGTGCCTTCCACATCAAAAAATGAGTATAATTTACCACAGAAGAAATTTCAAACACTTTTGAAAACACCCTATTTATGCCCTGAAGCGCTATATATACGTGTGTGTATATATATATACACATATATAAATAAAAACAGGTTGATTCAATGTTGCCCATGCCTAAACGCCCATGCTCTGGGCGAGCTGTTCTCAACGGACAGAGCAGCTCACTGGCGTCTTTCCTGTGGTTTTCGGTCACTCCTCCAGCCTGCAAAACAGAAAGGGTGTCAATGCCGATGGTCAGCAAGGCACCCGCCAGAAGAGTGGAAGAAAGCACAGCCTCACTCACCACAGGCTACAACACAACGTATAACCACTGCTTGAAGCACCAGTTCTATACTAATTAGCCTACTAATACTCTGGTCACAGGGGTAGATGGTTAGCTCCGATTTCTCCAATGCTCAGGAGCAAGTGTTGTCACCAGCCAGTATTAACCAAAGCCGGCAGCCCGTAACGCGGGACAGGCGGGAGGGAAGACAGAAGACGGGGCAGTGCTCAGGAGAACAGCAGACTGCATTGCTTTCCTTGATGGAAGAAGTCGATCAGCACCCATACCATGGAGCGTGCCATTAAACAAACCTCTCGTCACTAGAGATGCCCTCTCTCCAAGAAAATCAAAACAACATTAATAAAACTCATGATGGTTGTGCAGAATCACAGACGCTACTTGCAATTCCTTTACCATGTTAGCAAATACCTGCGTCATCAGCCTCCAGTAAATCCACGCTTGCATTCCAGAGTAACTCATCCATTTGACACACACCCACAATCCAGAAAGACTCTGAAGATGCTAGAAAAGCTATCTGTGCTCGGCACACAGCAGAGGAGTCTAGGTTCAAGGCTCAGAACACCATAGAAATTTTGAGAATTATGAGTAAAAATAGGTAGCATCACTCAAACCAATCACATTGACAATCAAGTTGGGGTGGGGCTGTTTGTGGGGCTTTTTTTTTTTCCTGCTAAGTTTTAGCCATTCTGTCATTTCCTGTAGCATCACATACGCTACAAGCCTCCTGACTGACCCCCTTGTCCAGAAGGACAGACAGCACTTTAAATATTAATCATTTGTCAACCAGTATGAAACAGCTACCAGTGTCAAAAACCTCGTGTTTCCTCCCCTCTCTATGCTTAAACAGGATTACTCTTGGAAAAAGACATCAAGCATAACACTGGCTGGGCAGGAACAATTTTTGGGAAGCAAACTGTCATTCTTTCACAGACTGGTAACAGAGCTGGCTGCAATTACTAAGGAATCTCACATTACTTTAAAGCGAAAATTAATTTCAGTGTCCAATCTCATCACCAAGATAATGCTGGATACAGTAAAACTGCTCATGGTAAATCAGGAATAAATGAATGTCCACAGAATCTCACTACACTGTTCATCATTAGCAGCATAATGTCCCAAAATACATTTTCAGCTGTGAAACCCACTGTGAGGGGAAGGGGAAAAGAGCACAATACAAAGCTTACCTTCTGCAGTGGGAGGAATTATTTTGATCAAAATGCAAGCATTAGAAGGAATAAGTAAGTGAAGCTAATGAGGCTGTCTATCCAACATACAGATGACAGGATATACTTTAACATATGAAAATAATTACAAGTTCTACAAGAACTAACCTTGTAAATTTGCACATGGTAGCAGCCTGGAATTTCCAAGCCAAAACTAGCACTTTAAATTCAGTGGGATCAACACAGAGGTCATTACAAAATCGTTCCATTCCTTCTTCCAGTATGGCATCTTCCCGTTCATCCTTATACCTCCTGAATAACTCCCCGATCCTCTGGAGCGAAGATTCTTCCGTGCTGGAAACAGAGTCTTTCTTTGTATCTCCAGAAAACGCTGGAGGCTGACTGGACTCCAGAGCAGCGTCTGCTTTCTTTGTCCCGTTCACGAGTATATCTCCTGAAGACTTCCCGCAGGCTGAACCGTGGTCATCTTTGTGGACGGCACTTCTCTTACTGTGCGACTTGCTGCCGGAGTCCCTTTCCCCATTTTTGCTGCCAAGGGTAGAAGAAGGGTTCTTGCACTTTGTGACACACTGGCCCATGATGTTGCAAGCCCAGCTTCTAGAGCAGTCCCCTTGCCGTCGGACACCCTCCCAGCTGCTCTTCAACACATCTCACCATGCCATTAGCAGCAGTCAACTAACCTGAAAAACAGTTTCAGAGTCAAATTGCTGTTTCTCCACAAAGAATACTGTAAGTATTAAACATGGGATATCATTCGCCAGTAAGAGCCCGACTTCAGGATATTTAAGTTTTGCATACTGAAAAGGATTAGTGTACAGAAGGTTGGCATATGTCATAAATTTCAGGCAATTTCAGGCTGTTTTACCTAGAAATCAATGCAGCTCACTCAGTGGCTGCAGTATACTAACGGGTCCTAATAAAGGAAATTCCTAAAATTCTTACTGTAACATAGGTTACAAAGAGGTTGATTCATGTACAGCCTTCATCAAGACAGACTACTCCAACCCAGAAATACTTTAAAGGAAATGGTTTTTAAAAGTATACCCACATTTTATATATAGAACATGAAATACTGAAACAAACCGGAGTGGCGGGGGGGGGGGAGGGGGGGTCCTAATAAAGGAAATTCCTAAAATTCTTACTGTAACATAGGTTACAAAGAGGTTGATTCATGTACAGCCTTCATCAAGACAGACTACTCCAACCCAGAAATACTTTAAAGGAAATGGTTTTTAAAAGTATACCCACATTTTATATATAGAACATGAAATACTGAAACAAACCGGAGTGGCGGGGGGGGGGGAGGGGCACTGATGGGACAAGCCGGTCAGACTGTACCTTCAGCAAACGAGCAAAAGGGCTTTTGCAGGGGTTTGGTTGGTTGTTTTTTGTTTGTTTGTTTGTTTGTTTTTTGTTGTTGTTGTTGTTGTTTTCCAGGGTTGGGGGCGTTTTTTTTAAAGACAGTTCGGAATCTAGATTTTTGTTCTTAAAACAAACACAGACCAGTTTGGAGAAAGGAGGTAACACTCACTTTTCATGCAAGATGGTGTTCAGGAATTACTCATTGTTTCAACTGGGCTCCTCCCTTCAGGTAAGGAGACAGACCCGGGGAGAGGGCCTTTGTAATGGAACTTTTTCAGACAGACACACATGCAGATAAGAAGCAGTAATTCCAGTTCCGTTTAAAAAAAAAAAATCTAAATTAAAATGCCAAAATGATTTCATCATACTGTTTTTATAAATCACAATGTTAAAGCCTTGCATATTTGGAAAAGATATTTTACCCACAGAAAAGGTTTCTTAAATTTTCCCTATTAAAACCAAAATAACACCCTGACTTTATCCTATCAGCAGGCAGCCACGCCATGGACAGTCCATTTCTCAGAAACATCAACTCCAAGAAAGCAATTGCTTATCATATTCCTCCTTTACCCACTTCTTTGCATTTCATCTCCGCTGTCAGTTAGACAAAAGCCTCACACATAAAAATTTGGTTTGCCTTGTCTTTTTTTACTGCTCCCAGGTTACAGAATTATAACAAGAAAGAAAAATTAAAAATGAAGTAATAAAATGAATGTCATGTCAGTTTTTCTGTATTCTTGGGTAAAGCTCTTCTGAGACTGTTCTAAGCTGCGAACCAACTCAGAACAGCAGCACCAATTCTCCAGATATTAGGATTACAAACATCAATCTTCCCTCAGCCATTACACCTGTTTTGGCAAAACAGCATGTATGCAGTTTCATGAGGGAAAAAAAAAAATATTTTTGCCTGTATCATCACAACAGCCAAGATGCTGGTTTCAACTGCCTGGCTTCCCTTCCCCTTCCCAGTCCCTCTTCTTAAGCCCATAACCCACAAACAAAACTAAAAAAACCCCTATTTTTAAGCAGCAGGTACATCCTTTCATCAAACTGCTTTAAAGATGAACTTTGTAGCATCACTTTTATAGGCAAGCAGAGTTCAATTTAACATATTCAATTTCTTATTAATTTGTCTTTTAAAGGATTTGTTAAAATATGCATTTCCACATAAGCAACCCAAAGAGAATTTCACTGGCCCTTGGTGTTGCACAGCTCTTTGTGAACTGCAGAGCACAGCCTGGCACTGGTTCCTGTCCTGCCACGCATCTGAGCAATATCATCTTCTCCAGTATACACCAGTCATCTTCTCATTACACCAAAACAAACAGAATATTATTAGGCAGTATGAATTACTGCTTAATGATTAATTCCCAGATACCAGCCTTTAGATTCATCAGAATTCAAATGCTCAATCTACACTTATTCTTGTTCTTCCATCAGTTTCACAAAGGCAGCGAACACTACTTTGACTAAGTTTTACTTTACAGAGAAGAAGCAAGCAAAGGAACAGAATAAAGAAATCCTGAGTAAAAATGAGTATTAGAGTTTAGAATTTAGCTAGTTTATAAAACTTTCTACTCAAACACATAATAGCAATTATTAGCTGCTGGGAACTTGGAACGGCTTTTCCCTATGGGCAGGTTAAAAAATAGCTGCCTATTAGTGAATCGTACTTTCCTCTGAAGTAGCTGGTAGTACTCAAATCACACGCAGGATAAAGGATGGAGATTAATCCAATTCACTTCACAAATCCCAAATTAAAGTGGTGGGGTTTTTTTTCTTTTAAAAAACGACAGTTTGCAAAACTAGCTTACATACTCTGTCCATAAATTTTCCCAACAGAAATGATTCATGCTGTCATGCATCCTAAGCAACAGCTCGTATTCATGATGATAACAATCTAATATTCAAGTCTACAAAGTGACATCACTAGTGCGATGAAACATTTGGGGTTTATTGTCATCTGCTGTGACAAAAAGACAGCATTACAACACAGAGGGAAGGTCAGCCAGCACTATTAAACACCTGCATGGAGGAAGTGTCCCAACAGCTGCTTCAGAAGACCACTGGAGAGCACGGTACCATTAACTTACGGAGCAGAAGTCAGCCACGTCCCCGCAGCACACCCCTCTACCAACACGTTTGCTGCACTCCAACCTACCTGCCTCCCCAGGGGCTGGCTGCTGCTCCCCAGCAGCCCCTCCTGGGCTCTGCTGGCCCTGCTCCTCCAGCCGTAACGGAGTTCTTCCTACCTCCTCCCTGCCGAGGAGGCTTTCAGAGCACAATCCTACTCATTAGGAACAAACCCTAGAAGATGCTGAGTACAGTTGCTGCTGCAGTTCCTCACTTTTCTACTACATGAAACTTGATGCCACGTGCCAGATACTTTGAAGCATTCTACCCCCAAAAATAGCAAAACCAGCTTGAAAAAATATAAAGTCAGACTGCATCTGCTGGCAGTTTGTGCACGTATCTGGTTTTGTAAGAGAAAAGTCTCTTGGCGCTCCATCAGTTACCCTTTTATAAAATGCCTTCGCTGAGCTGGATCCACTTCACTTACTAGTCACCTCCGCTTCCTACGTGACTCAGGTTTCAAGGCATGAAAGGCACAAGAGCCTCGGAAGGAGATAGGAACAAGTGGGAGAAGTCGGCCCTTTTGTTAAGAGGCTGCAGAGAGGATCCAGTTGCAGCATCAGGAGCTGCACTGAACTCTGTGGTCAAGGAGTATGAAAAAGCACTCTCAGGAAAGCGAGCAGAGCTACTCATTTAACTGCAGCGCAAAGCAGATGTCATGTCTAGGTCATGCCGATCACAGTTATCTGAGCGTAAGGACGTGCCGAGATATTTCTCCCAGCTGGATCAGGAACTACAAGTATAAAGTTCTCGCGTACCCAAAGGTTATACTGGATTGGTGGCAAAGAACCAGTTCCCAAAAGGATCAGTTCCCAGGAGCAAAATTCCGGTAACAGGCTTGTACAATGTAACAGCGAGACACACAAGGCAGCGCCGACCACTAGTTTTGCCATTCAACTAAGAAAGATTAAAATTCAGGGCTAACGTTGGAACGAGCTCAGCGCTACAGGATGCAGCGCTCCCAGAGAAGTCTGATTACTCAGACAAGTATTGAGCAACAACCTGCAGTAAATATGAATCACCAAGATGCCCATGAGGCCATCTTCCACGTAACAGGAAATGCAAAGCAGAGATCGACAAAGATGCGCTCTGCTCCTTTCTAGGAGGGACCAAGGAACTGGAAACACAGGAAGACTGGCAAATACAGCCAGTTAAAGGAAAGCCACCCTCTAAGAATAAAGGACATGCAGAACCGTATTGCCCAATACACAAAATGGGAAACCTAGAGATGATTGGAAAGACCTCGCTAATGCTTGGTGCAACTTTTTGGTTTGGTTTGGGGGGTTTTAGGGGTTTTTTTTTGTATTTGGTTGTAGTGTGGGGTTTTTTTGCGTGGTTTTTTTTTTTTTTCTTTTTTTAAGTGCTGTAAGGAAATTAGTTTTTCTCCATTTTCAAGTGACGAGATCACACGTAACACAAGATTTGAAGGGAGCAAAACAACAAAGTGACTCAGTACTAATTCTCTGCCATACAAACACACCATGGCACAACTGAAAACAGCAACACTGAAGTGGGGGAGAGCTGGCAGGAGGATAGCAGGTGCATAGGGGGTATTTAAGTAAACCTGTATTTTTCTGTAATGACCGATGTTATTGTAGTATTAGAAATTATTGGATACATCCAGAGAATAACAAAACACATAAGAAGTATTATGCCCTTTATTAAAGTGTTGCATCAGAAGGTATTTACAATGAGTTTCAAAACGCACAAAGTATCAAGAGAGAAGAGGAGAAAACCCTCCACACATTCAAGAACACTTCAAAGACAAATTTAGGAAATCTCAGAACAAAAGAGGATGCAGCTCAGCCAACCATTAAATCCCTTCCCAAGCAGCAGTTCACTAACTAAGGCAAAGACAACATTGCTAGAGTTTACCCACACCTCAACCCAACTTTTCTGCAAACACTTCAGCATATTCTGTAAGAATTTTACAGAATTTCACTATGCATTATCTACCTTTTAGTGGACAGGAATACATGACTTCTAAACTAGCTGAGAGTAGGGAGCAGTATCATGGGTGCCCCGTCTTTTTCCAGTTCTGAACAGATACACGCAGCTTTCCACTTCTTGTAAGCAAACATCTAATACTTACATAGTTTCAGCTATACAGGGAATCATTCCACTAGCTTCATTCACAGCCTCCCTGGGTTGCACATGGAACACTGTAAGACAAAAGACCACACA